GTAAACCATTTCTGAATCACTCCAAAAATGGGCCATGAGAGATAAGCCCTCTTTTAATTTGAAATTGCTGATGTCCACGTTAACCAAAGTTCATCATCATCGTAGCTGCGGGGGTGGAATTGCTGACATTGGCCGGAATCCGCCGGCTTTGCAGAATCTGTGTCCTTCCACACATGCCAGGAATGGCTCACATAGCTGGGCCTGTCTCAGCCTGGGTAGGAGCCGAGTGAGGGGTCAGGCTGCCACATCCCCCTCTCCTGTTTGATGCAGCGTAGAACTCTGTGGGTGTGTTCCTTCTCACCCCTCTCAGCTGCCCCCCCCCGATTGTGGATTGAGCAGGTAGGCTGGGCTTCTTTGGGGAGATTTTATTCACATCACACCCTCAGGTTTGGCATCCGTGATGAAGAATACCCACAGCAAATTCCTGCCATCAAGAATTCTGTGACTTTTATTGCGATCAGGCCAAATTTGTTCAAATCCAAGAGATTGTTGCCTACACTAAAAGCTGGAGGTTGGGAATGTAGCCTGGTGATAGGGCACTTGCAAGGCGTGCATGTGACCCCGGATTTGATCCACAGCATGGCCAGAAAATAAAACAAAACCAACGCCATGAGCTGATTCTGACTGCCACCTGGTTTCCTACCACCTATGAGCTAAGAGGTGTTTTTAGGTGACAGTTGTATGAAGTTCAGGTTTCATATGTGGAGTCTGGCTACCCCCGTTTCTTTATGCATATCATAGCTATTTCCACCCACTTTGTGGTTGAGATTTGAGGATCTGCACCAAGACTATGAAGTCCATGAAGCCTAAAATATTTGTTATATGGTTTTTTCAAGGAAAGGTTCATATCAGGGTAATCCTGGCCCAGGAAAATGAATTTGGAAATGTTCAGTTTTTTGGAAGATTTTTAGGGTTGGGATTATTTCTTTAAATGTTCAATAGAATTCTTCCATGAAACCATCTGGCCCTGAGCTTATCTTTGATGGGAGGCTTTTTATTTTTGTCTTAGTCTCCCAGTTTATTATAGTTTTGTTCAGATTTTTTGTTT